GATTAGTTCATCCTCAGGCATAAAACACCTTTTATGAAAGATGTGTTTTCTTATTTGTGAATTATACATTGCACTTAATAATTTATGCTTTGCAAGGACAGGAGTTACAGATCCTATGTCCACGTATAGTTGTATTCTTTAACATTTGTTTTCTTATTCAATGGAAATGTTGAGATAAGAGAGGTATACGTATAGGAGAAATAGGAAAACCATAATAAATACTTGTGTTTGACCCAACAGAACACTAAGATGTTATTTTAGTAGTTTAGTAATGATCTCTATGGCACCACTGTGAAATTGATTTTATTTACTATGGTAAATGAGAATTCTTCCTTTAGGAATATAAAAAAGAAACAATGGCCGTCTTCACTTCAAAGTACTTGTTCCAGTAAAATATCTGAGTGTTTTTTTTTTGTAAAAGCAGATAAATCCTATCATTGTACGGAGAGCCTGTGTGCTATAAATCAAAATGTTTCTTATCTCTTATTTTCCTTAATGATATTGATAACCTCTGGGGTTGCTGAGTAAACAAAAGTCTTTTCTTTGCTAACTTTGTGACTCATCTGTGCTCAAAGGGCAGGGTAAGCTTCCTATTGCCAGGAGGGTAAACAGCGCTTCATTAAAAGAACCCGCTGCTAAATGGTCTCTGAGCCAAAGCACTTCCCGTACAGCAGAATAACAGAAAGTGTTCCCACAGGGGATCCAACCATTTGCTTGACCTGCGAGTGGCCACACACACACACACACACACACACACACACACACACACATTCATGTGGTGAGCGTTTAATTAAAAATCAGCAACAAAAAAGGAAACAGGTATTTTAAGGGATTTTTAGATGCATTTTTCGCAATGAGTGTGGATATTGTTGGACCTCACCTATTTGTCTCTTGATTTTATTAATTGGAGTTTTAAATTCAAATAATTTATAAAGCTAATTAGGAATCCGCCACTTTTCCTGTGAGTGAAATATGCCATTTTATATGTGAGTTATTCCAAGTAAACTTACATGTTTGCTTTTACTTTCTTCCCTGCTTCTGAATTTC